TAGAAACATAAATGATGAGAGAGTCATTGGTCGGCTGCCTCCTGCACGCCCCTTACAGGGGACTGAGCCAGCAACCCAGGCATGTGCCCTGATGGGGAATCGAACTTTGACCTCCTGGTTTATAGGTAGACATTCAACCACTGAGCCACAATGGCTGGGTGAGACTCTTTGTTTTGTGTGTCTCTCTCACTTTCTGGCTTTTCCCTAGGCCTCCAGGAAAGACAGGGCTTGCTGGGCAGGCCATGCTCTACTGTGACCTCGAATCCCCAGTCTACCTGAGCAGGCTGGCTCCTGCCGTTTGCAGTGGATCCTCTGCCAACATTTCCCTAGACCCTGGACTCAAGTAGTTGGCCCTGGCTTTCAGCCCGGGTCTAACCAAGAGAAGATTTTTGCTCCCTGTAAATGGCATGATGATGGTGGGTGTGCAGGCCAAGGGTCACAGGCTTACAGGCCCCTGCTACTCAGGTCAGAACAGCAAGCAAGGGAGTAACCTGCTGTTGCTACTGAGGACACTGGAGCACTAGGGTTGGCTACCAAATCCTGCCCAGTATAGGGAAGATTAGAAGCTCCCGAACCACTGTGTGCCCTTCTGATGGGTCTCAATCAATGTGAGGCGGGCCCTGATTCTCATGTCAAATGACAGAGCTGTAGGGGGGACAATGGTCGCCATGGCCTTCCTTGCCAGTTTGGCACCTGCTAATGGGTAGCCAGTAGGTGCCTGTTAAAACTATAAAACCTAGTGGACACATGCTTTTATGCAACTGGCATCTACACAGCCAGGCGTGATGGGAGCCAATGCCAGGGCATAAAGTGTCGGGCACGGCAGCAATACCCCCGGCATCCACATGTGGCTCCCTCCCACTCACCATTATGAGGTTAAATCGGTCGCTTGCCAAAGCGGAGGGATCGGAGCTGTGAATCTGAACCTTCTTCCTCTGCATGCAGCTCACTCGCAGCTCATGGGCTAAACTGCAGGGGGAAAGAGAGGGGCAGGGAGGGCATGGGCACCACACCTAGACACCCATGAGGAAGATTCAGAGCGTCTGCCCTGCCCCACACCCTGAAGACCACCTCACCTCGTTGGCCCTCTCCCTATTATCTCTCAGCAATGGAAATGAGCAAGATCCCAAATAAATCCAATTTTAGAACTCTCAGGAAAACTAAAGCAAAGAAATGAGCGGCCCATTTACAGGGTCAAAGAAAGTTAGAACTCGAGGAATCTGTTTTGGGGTCATCTGGTACAACTCTTTCTCGAGACCAAGAGAAGGCGCCTGAGAAATGAAACACGCCGAAGGGCACACACCCAGCTATGGGAAGGGCCCAGGCATGCGGCCGTCCATCTTACTGCCCCTTCCCCCTCCACGAAGGAGACAGCATGTTTAGGGAGAAGAACAGGTCTTTTTACCTAGATAGTTATCTCTTTTAGGGAAATGAAGGAGAGGCATGTTCCTACCTGCCCTTCCTCATACCTCCTGCAGGGCTGGCCTACAGGGAAGGCGTCCTTGCTCCAAGATGAGAGCTGTGTCCCCTATAAACCACCCAAACTCAGGGTGTTTCTTCCCCTGTCCACACAGAGTGGGAGGCAGCAGAACACAGGGGTTAGGAGCTCCGGTTTGGGAGTCAGATCCCATCCTTTCTGGCTTTACCTTGAGAAAAATCACTCCCCTCTGAGCCTCAGTCTCTTCTAGAAACCAGAGGAGGTGTCTGCCTATCTCACAGGGCTCTAGTTAGAGTTATATCAGGAATCACAAGTACGTAAATAAAGTTTAGTACATACATCTATTTAATGTTCCATTTTTTGTAACTGATTAGGTAAAGAGAAAAGGAGGCAGAAATCTCACAGGAATGAAGTGATAAGACCTACCACTAAACTAAACACGATTTATAAGTAACGGAGAAAACATCCTGAGAAATTTCTGCCCAATTTCTCTGCCTAGGTCCCCTCTCCTCTCTCTGGCCTGCGGACGTGTGCCCCGTGCTCTAGGAGTGATGCTCTCAGGGCTGGTTCAGCAGCAGACGGCAGGCTGTGAGCCAGAGCTCCTCAATGGTGAAGGCTCCTCACAGAGCAGCTATGAGCTATGTGGTCTCCTGACTGGATTCTTGGGCCATGGAAATAAAAGAATAAAAGACAGAAAAAGAATACTCGTGAAGAGGCACTGACTTACCGGCAATAACTGGTGGCGTTGAGAAAACCCAGCTTGCTTTTTTGTAACAAGGAAGTGGCATTAAATCCCATCCTGGTTATTTTCTAAATTAAAGAAAAAAAAAAGATAGATTCAGTGAAGTTTTATGTTATACAATAACAGAATATTTTTAGTTCCATAGGATGCAATGAAGAAACAGGTACTAAATTGGCAGAAATTATATGCATATAAACCGATGTTCTCCTTGGCTGGTCTCCCATCGTGGCAAGAGGAAAAGCCTAGCCCTGGCCGGTTTGGCTCAGTGGATAGAGCGTCAGCCTTCGGACTGAAGGGTCCCGGGTTCGATTCCGGTCAAAGGCATGTACCTTGGTTGCAGGCACATCCTCAATGAGAGGTGTGCAGGAGGCAGCTGACCGATGTTTCCCTCTCATCCATGTTTCTAACTCTCTATCCCTCTCCCTTCCTCTCTGTAAAAAATCAATAAAATATATTAAAAAAAAAAAAAAAAAAGAGGAAAAGCCTATCACAAGCAAGAATGTGTGACTGGAAGGTCTGCTCAGTGCCTCTGTCCAAGCCCCCCGTCAAGCTGTACCTGGGGAGAAGCCGCCACGCTAGTGAGTGCAGGAATGGCCCTGGACACTCAGGTCTGCATCGTGCTTTCCATTCGACCTATGGGGACCCAGGGCCCCGGATTTTCCATTCTGTTGCCCCGTAACCATCCAAATGTCCTGGCATCTAAGAAACCCTCATATCCAAACCATGTACCCTGGTTTTCTATTTAAAATATACAGTTACTGAAACTGTATCATGCTGCTTTTCAAGATTCCCCCAGGGAAGGACAAATGTTAGAATTACTGATGAAACTTTGGAAATTGGGAAAGTGGAGTGGGAGGGGATTGCTCGCTTGTTCTATTCTCTTTGTCAGGTTCCTGTCAGGGAAAAGTCAACACCACATCCCAGAACTGCACTAAGCGGAGCGTGCAGGGGCACTGAATGGGCACCCGCCTTCAGCCGTGGATGCAGGCTGGCAGGGGTGCAGGGGACAGGCGGCCCCCTGAGTGTGGAGCCCACCTTTGTCTGCCTGTCCTCTTCCTCTAGCAGCTGCAGCCTTTTGTGTTCCATTGCCTTCTGTTGGATGCCTTCCTTCGTGAGGGGGTTGCAGTTGTTATGTCCAGGGAGCAAGCGGAAGTACCGATTCTTTTCGGGGTCAAAGTAATACCCTGGTAGATCTTTAGTCAAAAGAAATAAAATCCAACTTAAAACACCGTGACCTGACCCTTCTAGAAAGGAGCCCAGTGGCCTGTCCACACCCCCCTCACAGCTGCCTATCTTTTCTAAGGGGCGGGAGGTGGGCTAGCATTGTCAGTCACCATCCTGGGCCCAGTTCAGGGATTGGGGTGCTGTTTGCCTCAGGATCACAGTTCTTGGCGTACCCAGTTCCTCCCTTTACTGTTCCGATTTGCTCCCAGAATTTCCTCTAAGCCCAAATGAGCTGGTAACACATGGAGTTCACCCTCATGCAAGTGCAGACACACAAGAGGAAGGGCGGCCTGAACAGACATAGCCAGTTGACGAGTCAGGACTAGGTTTCATCTTTCCCTGTGGGCAGGGCCAGGAGTCCTAACCAGCAGACTGCCTTACCTGGCACAGAAGAACTCCCAGCTGTGCTGGTCGAGGTCGACGGGACCTCCCCATCGCCGTGGTCGGAATCCTGTGGGCTCTGCTGTGCCCCTGTGTTACACCTGTCGACACAGTCATGGTAACTTGTAGGGAAGGGCTGGAGACCCAGTCATTCTCTGACTGTGGGGTCCTGGCAGGGGTAGCTCAGGCAGTGCCACAGCCTTCACCCCGGACCCTCTCACCTTCCATTACTTGGGAAGCATTAACCCCGCTTTTCCTTAAAAGTAGTTTACCTATTGCAAACACACCAGTTAGAACAAGGTTTTGTCTCTCATCCTTAAGAGGATGCATGTCACAGTAATTCCCTTTTCTCATCTCCTCACTTGAGCACTTCATGAGGTCTTTTGGAATTTTCTGGATGAAAAGAAGACCAGAAATCTTTGCCAATAAGAATTCTACCATGCACCCCTATGTTCATAACAGCACAATTTACAATAGCTAAGATTTGGAAACAGCTTAAGTGCCCATCAGCAGATGAGTGGATTAAAAAGCTGTTCCATTGCCTTCTGTTGGATGCCTTCCTTCGTGAGGGGGTTGCAGTTGTTATGTCCAGGGAGCAAGCGGAAGTACCGATTCTTTTCGGGGTCAAAGTAATACCCTGGTAGATCTTTAGTCAAAAGAAATAAAATCCAACTTAAAACACCGTGACCTGACCCTTCTAGAAAGGAGCCCAGTGGCCTGTCCACACCCCCCTCACAGCTGCCTATCTTTTCTAAGGGGCGGGAGGTGGGCTAGCATTGTCAGTCACCATCCTGGGCCCAGTTCAGGGATTGGGGTGCTGTTTGCCTCAGGATCACAGTTCTTGGCGTACCCAGTTCCTCCCTTTACTGTTCCGATTTGCTCCCAGAATTTCCTCTAAGCCCAAATGAGCTGGTAACACATGGAGTTCACCCTCATGCAAGTGCAGACACACAAGAGGAAGGGCGGCCTGAACAGACATAGCCAGTTGACGAGTCAGGACTAGGTTTCATCTTTCCCTGTGGGCAGGGCCAGGAGTCCTAACCAGCAGACTGCCTTACCTGGCACAGAAGAACTCCCAGCTGTGCTGGTCGAGGTCGACGGGACCTCCCCATCGCCGTGGTCGGAATCCTGTGGGCTCTGCTGTGCCCCTGTGTTACACCTGTCGACACAGTCATGGTAACTTGTAGGGAAGGGCTGGAGACCCAGTCATTCTCTGACTGTGGGGTCCTGGCAGGGGTAGCTCAGGCAGTGCCACAGCCTTCACCCCGGACCCTCTCACCTTCCATTACTTGGGAAGCATTAACCCCGCTTTTCCTTAAAAGTAGTTTACCTATTGCAAACACACCAGTTAGAACAAGGTTTTGTCTCTCATCCTTAAGAGGATGCATGTCACAGTAATTCCCTTTTCTCATCTCCTCACTTGAGCACTTCATGAGGTCTTTTGGAATTTTCTGGATGAAAAGAAGACCAGAAATCTTTGCCAATAAGAATTCTACCATGCACCCCTATGTTCATAACAGCACAATTTACAATAGCTAAGATTTGGAAACAGCTTAAGTGCCCATCAGCAGATGAGTGGATTAAAAAGCTGTGGTACATCTACACAATGGAATACTATGCTACGGTAAAAAAGAAGGAACTTTTACCACTTGCAACAGCATGGATGGACCTGGAGAGCATTGTGCTAAGTGAAATAAGCCAGTTGGAGAAAGATAAATATCACATGATCTCACTCATATGTGGGATATAATGAACAACATAAACTGATGAACAAAAACAGATCTAGAGACAAAGAAACACTGAACAGACAGTCCAACCTCAGAGAGAAGGCGGGGGGTGGTGGTGGTGGTGGTTTAAGAGATCAACCAAAGGACTTATATGCGTGCATATTAGCATAACCAATGGACAAGGACACTGGAGCGGTGGGAGCGTGTCTTGGGGGCGGGATCAATCAGGGAAAAAGAAAGGAGACATATGTAATACTTTAAACAACAATAATAATAATAATAATAAAGAATTCTACCAGCTGGGCTCATTTATAAGGCCAGGTGAATTTCATTCTTTACTGGATCCAGCAATACAGAGTTTAAATTGTACTTGGCTACCCAGCTTTACAGATGGAGAAATTGGGGTTCAAGACACAGAGGTGATTTGCTCAGTGATACTGAGATAGAGCCATAGTTTAAACACTCATTTTGCAAAGCTACAGTGTCCATGGCAATTGGGAAAGTGGAGTGGGAGGGGATTGCTCGCTTGTTCTATTCTCTTTGTCAGGTTCCTGTCAGGGAAAAGTCAACACCACATCCCAGAACTGCACTAAGCGGAGCGTGCAGGGGCACTGAATGGGCACCCGCCTTCAGCCGTGGATGCAGGCTGGCAGGGGTGCAGGGGACAGGCGGCCCCCTGAGTGTGGAGCCCACCTTTGTCTGCCTGTCCTCTTCCTCTAGCAGCTGCAGCCTTAGGATATAATGACAGTGCAAAAGACCTAATTTTAGAATCCTGATAAAATCCTCTTTAAAATCAAGAACTTCCCCTCTCCCTCCTCCACACCAAAAGGAGCACAAATTGCAAAACGAGGTTGAAGGAATGAAAGAACTTCCTCTTTTGTCTATAAATACTAACGATGCATGGTTTCAGGGAAAATTTATTCTCCCTTTTTATGGCCCAGAGCTTCCTGAGGCAGCTCATCTGTGATCAGCAGCAGGAGGAAAGGAGGATGAAGTGTCATGACAAATGTCTGTGTTTCTAGTCCAAGGACTGCTGCTCCATTCTTTCCACATGGAGCCCAGAAGGTGGCTGTCCAGCGTGTTTCCACACAACTCTGCCAAAGCTGAGTTGAGACTCTTGCACGGATCACACTGTACTATGCATTGTGCTCTTGTGGGAAGGCCTGCGGCACAAAAAGTATCCATGGTTCTCCTTTCAAAACATACAAACACTGGGCACTGCCCCCATCTTTCTACAATATTGGTCAAGTCTGGGACTTCATCTGAGAGTAATATTTTATTCTGCACCTAAAGAGGCCCATCCCATACGGAGGGCCTATCAGGAGCCAGGCAGCCCGTTAGGGGCTGTATATACATTATTGTGAACTTCACAAGAGAAGTATTGTACAAGAGTAACTCAGAGTGATTAAGTAACTTGCCTATAGGAAAAAGCAGTGTGTCAAGCTCAGACTTCTTAATTCCAAAGCCCTTGTTCCTTCCACATTTTTAAAAAATGTTTTTATTGATTTTTTATAGAGAGAGGAAGGGAGAGGGATAGATAGAAACATCAACGAGAAACATAACCAATTTGGCTGCCTCCTGCATGTGCCCTGATCAGGAATCAAACCGGTGACCTCTTGGTTCCTAAGCCCGTGGTCGGCAAACTGCGGCTCGCGAGCCACATGCGGCTTTTTGGCCCCTTGAGTGTGGCTCTTCCTAAGCCTTAGGAGTACCCTAATTAAGTTAATAACAATGTACCTACCTATATAGTTTAAGTTTAAAAAATTTGGCTCTCAAAAGAAATTTCAATCATTGTACTGTTGATATTTGGCTCTGTTGACTAATGAGTTTGCCGACCACTGTCCTAGGCTGATGCTCAACTGCTGAGCCACACCAGCCAGGCCATTCCACAACATTTTGATGCTTTTTGTTATTGTTTGGTTTAAGCTGGTCTAAAGAAGCATCATGGCCTTTGACACCTTATAACTAGAAATCTATCCATTTTGAAAGGAGGTCTGGAGTATGGAAGAGTTTTAAAATTGTCAGACAGGTCCCCTTTGGTGAGGTGGGGGCTGTGCAGACTTCTTATGGCCAGAAGTCACACCAGCAACCCTGACTGTGAAGAGGTGTCCTCTCCTGCCATGAGGTGATGGGGGAATCTTGTTCTGAGACTAGATTGCTTATATTTCCTTCATGCAGAAAAATAAGTAGAATGGAAAATGTTCATATTGGGATTTCAACTAAGTACTGACTAGGCTTTATTTTTTAAGCTGGGTGGAAGGTACACATTCATTGTACTATTCTTTATACCTTTTTGTGTTTTTAAATACTATATTTTATATATATGTATATATATATAGCTTCTTTCTCAGGATTTACTGAATTAATTAATTACAATTCCAGAATGCTATTGTCATTGGATGGGGAAAAAAAAGACAGGAAAAGAGAGAGGGAGTCTATAAAATGGAGAAGCAATCCTCCTTCAGTAGTATCAGATAATGTCTACTCTAAGCTCATGGCTAGTGCTCTGGCCAGAAGTCATGGTCACTCTGAAAACAAAGAAGAGTGTGGCCATATCTCCTCACTACTCAAGGTGTGGCAGGCAGGCTAACCTGCAGCAGCAACTTCCCCTGGGAGCTTGTCAGAAGTGTAGACTCTTGCTGGGCCCCACCTCGGACCCTGCATTTTGACGAGATGCCCAGTGACCCACGTGCACGGGAGGGTACTGGACAATACCAGAATGGCACTGGGGAACAGCACTTGCCTCTCGTTAGGTCTGTGTTGTCTGAGTGTAGGGTTCTGCCGCTGGCTCCTTCTTCCATGTCTTCTACTTTTCCAGCTGCTTTTATGCATTTCTGCTCCTATATGAGAAAAAAAGAAAATTACATACAAACATGTGGGTGCATGCACTTTTCTGTTCACTTCTTGATAGTTCCTTCATGCTCACAACCAAACCCAACCTGGTTGTCATCAAAGCCACCACCCCAAGCCTCATCTGTAAAAGGCAGCCTTCCAGGTGGAGACACCGATAAAATCCAATGTGTCTGAAGCCACTTTTCTGGCTGAGTTCTCCTACCTCACAGTTGACACCTGGCCTGACAACCTGCTAACCTCCGTCCCCTGGGTCACTGTGTGAGCTGCTGACAGACTCTCACAATTACTTTAAGACAATAGTTTGAGCCTGACATGAGATCTCTCTTAACTGTGCTTCTTTCTTCTTCTTACCAGATAATACCAGAGCACATACTTTTTCCTTCAATCTATACACATCCTGTTTGCAGAGAATAGTTCAGTATTGAGCAGGGAAAATTGTGAACATAATTAACCGGGGGCTAGTGTGCATGGTTTCTCAGTATGCTTTCTAAGGAGTGTTTTAGCTTTGAGCGCACACTAGCAGTTAAAAGGAAGGATGTGACCAAGCTTTTTTTTCTTTTAAAAAAAAATAAGGAATGAGATGAAAGCACTTCTTAATAACACTGATATTGCCATATTTATTTCAAGTGGCTTTTAAAAATCTTATCTTTTATAACCTGAATCTATCACTTAATCATCAAAATATCACAAGTTTTCGCAATGGGAATCACATTCATTTTATAAAAAGACTAAACTGTGGTCCAAGGACCAACTGCTGTAAGTTTCAGATTTTCTCAACACCTGGTGATTTTTATCTCTCCACTCACTGGAGACACTGATGACATCTGACCTAATACATTAAAAAAACACATTCAAATGCCGTAACAAAATTGGGAAAAAATGGGTTGAATGTAACCAAAGAATAGAAGTCTATTTGCCTTTACTTCCCAACTTATACTTAAAAAATAAGTAAAAAATATATATGTATGTATGTACTGATTTCAGAGAAGGGAGAGGGATAGAAACATCAATGATGAAAGAAAATCATTGATCAGCTGCCTCTTGCCCACCCCCTACTGGTGATCGAGCCAGCAACCTGGGCATATGCCCTGACTGGGAATCAAACCGTGATCTCCTGGTTCATAGGTTAACGCTCAACCACTGAGCCATGCGGGCCTGGGCCCCAACTTCTACTTTTGAGTTGAGAGTGCCTGTTAGCATCAAACAGAGCACTAGAAGTCTGGACCTACATTCCAGAATTCAGCATTTACTCAACCACTTCCGTGTCAACCTATGATTGTGAGTTGGGGTTATTTAGATACAAAGAAAGAAAGAAAAATTTAATGAGTATGGCACTTAACCAAACATTTCACAAATTCTATAACAAATTTCTTGATTTGCTAGTGGGAATGTAAAATACTGCCACCACGTCAGAAAGTTTTGCAGCTCCTCAAAAGGTTCAATGTAGAGTTACCATATCAGCCAGCAAAACCCAGCAGAAATGAAAACACATGGTCACACAAAAATTTTGAGAGGAACATTCACAGTGGCGTTATTCATAATTGCCTAAAAGTGGCAACAGCCCATATTTCCATCAGCTGATGAATGCATAAAAATGTGGCATCTCCATACAACAGAATGTTATTTGGCCATAAAAAGAATGAAGTACATGACACAACAAGGATGAACCCTGAAAATATATGCTAAGTGAAAGAAGTCAGACATAAAATTGAACGATTCAATGTATATGAAATCTCCAGAATAGGCAAATCCAGACACAGACACACAGACACAGTATTTTATAGGGGCTGGGGTGGAGGGAGAGGAGGCAGAGAATAAGGAGACTAATACAAAGGTCTTTTTTTTTTTTTTTTAAAGCTTCTTGCAAGTCCATTTTTCTGTTATGAAGAATTGTTCTTCCCAGTTATCACAAATGAGATGATAAGTGCTGATTAAATTGTTTTATATTTCCAGGAATAAGAGACTAAGGGAAAGGTTATATCTTATTAACTAGGTGGTAGCTTGATAAAATTTTTATAGAATTTTAAATGACTTATGATAGTCTATGTGTACTTATGCTTTCTTAGATTCCACCAGATTACTAGCTTTTCAAAAGCTGTAGCACTGCCCTGGCTGGTTTGGCTCAGTGGATGGAGCATCGGCCTGCGGACTGAGGGGTTCCGGGTTCGATTCCGGCGAAGGGCATATGCCCGGGTTGTGGGCTCGATCCCCAGTGGGGGGTGTGCAGAAGGCAGCCGATCAATGATTCCCTCTCATTATTGATGTTTCTATCTCTCTTTCCCTCTCCCTAATCAATAAAAAAATATATATTTAAAAGCTGTAGCACCAGATATACTTTAGTATGACGGTTTTTTTTAGTATTATGGTTTTTTAAAAAACCACCATCAGGTTATTGTGACTTTCATTTAAACTAAAATTTATGTTTCACGCATTTGTAAAACACAGATCTATTGGTATCATATTTCCTTTATTCTGTTTGGTAAATTTACAGATCAAATGATGATACTTTATGTTTCAGTAAAAGCTTAAAAATGGAAAATGTCTTTTTACTTAAAGTTTCATGCAATAGAATTTACATTTAATCAGAATGACTAGATGAGATCTTTTTCTGGAGTCAACCTCAGAGAAGCTAAGTGGAATTGGTGGATCTTTTAGATGTTGTTGCCTACTTACTACTTATAATAGCACTCCCAGCCAGTTACAGTGCATTAATGTGAAGTACCTTGAAATCCAAGGGGGTGAGGGCTCATACAAAAGGATCACATATTACTAGGTAGGAGTTTGAAATGCCTAGGCGTGTAGCATTTTTAAAACCTTAATTTTTCAGTCAGCATAAATTTCCTTTAATTTTCTCTATTTTCAGTACCATTTCATTTTGAGGCTTAACATAGCAAGCCAGTATAGTTTTAAATATAGTAATCCTGGATTCCGAGTTATTTTAAGATGAAAAGGGAAAAAAGAAGTGTACTTAGGGAAATTAATTTCTTCTTCTTCTTTAACATCTAATTCTTCATCTTCTGCTTGTTGACGCTTTCTTAGTCGACGGGTGGACACCTGTCCTGCTCCAGAGACACTCTTAGCTTACAACAATCTCTGAAAAGGCAACTGTGAATTTGCTCTTACAATATCTAAACAAGATGGATAATCTGGCAAATACCTAGAGCTTCTGAAAAACCTCTAAATCTTTTGTGTATTTTGGTAGACAGCAGAGTATACCTCCAAAGTTTTGCTGTGAATAGAATTTCAGTAGTGATAAATTTTGAAAATAAATTCTTTATATCCTATATCTGCTTTTTAAACCTACTGTTTCCTCCAGATGAGAGTTGTTTGGGTGGCATCCACTGTAGCTCTCTGTAACATGAAACATGTCCATTGGTTTGCTGACTTGTCTGCTTAGCTTCTCCATTCCTTACTGCTAATGTTGCTTTGCAGTCATCCCATTTCAGTTTTACAATGGTTCCAATGAGCTTTCAAAAGTTCAACTCTTTTGGCTGCAAGTCTTTCCACCTCCACTTTTCCATAATCCTGAAGTTTCAACCTTCACTTGTTGAAAACACCTGAGCAGTTTTTCAGGACCTGCTTCAAATTTGGGGTCTCTGTAGAGACCTACTCCTGGATCTCATTCACCCAGAGATTGGCTTTGTCTCGCAGTCTGGCAGTTTTCCGCACAGGACTGGCAAAGATTTGGCTCTGCACTCCAAAGTGCCAGTGATTTTGTTTTGAGCATTTCACAGGTTTCTGGATAAATGGTGTCTTTGCCCCAAGACACCATTCTGGGCCTGCCTGAAAAATCCGGAAGGTGTAGGCCCAGAAAAATCCCAGACCCAGGAACCTTAAGGCTTGTGGGGTGGGGCCGGGCTAGGCCACAAGAGGTTGCAGTCAGCCTCCTTCCTGGCTGCACGCCTCAGTCCCCTCCCTCTAGCCCAGAGAGGTAGGTCCAGAACTCCCCGAAGGCTGAAATTCAATGTGAGCGAGAGGCTCTATTTGCCCCACCTAAGCCTTCAGGCGGGGCAGCCCAGGCAGCAGGGCCCCAACACCCTGCCTAGCACAGGGCTGGGGCTGGAGCTGGAGCCCAGCAACACCGCTCGGAGGCGCCTGGGACGCACTGGGGTCATACAGTTTCTTTTTAGGGTGATGAACATGTTCTGGAATAAGAGATATCACGTGATGGCCACACAATCTTTCGAATATACTACAAATTGTACACTTTCAAAAAGTAAATTCTACCTCAGAAACGAAAAAGATTTACTACAGCAGTACTATCATATTTAAAGAAACATCCTAAATAATTTAATGAACAACATAAACTGATGAACAAAAATAGACCTAGAGTCATAGAAGCATCGAACAGACTGTCAAACCTCAGAGGGAAGGCAGGGAAGGCAGGGGTGGGATCAACCAATGAACTCTCAAGCCTATATGCATAACCCATGGACACAGACAATAGGGTGGTGAAAGCTTGGGGTGGGGGTGGAGGCGGGGGTGGGGTAGCAGAGGTCAATGGAGAGGAAAAGGGGGACCTATGTAATACTTTCAACAATAAAGATTTTAAAAATAAATACATAAAAGGAAATAATGATACCGTTTAAAAACAAGGATACACATTTGGAGGGGGATGAACTTTTTGTGGAGCTATGTTGGTAAGGGTCCCAATAAAAATCCACTTTCAGAGGGAAAAAAAATCCTAAATATCCAACAGGAGAATTAAGATTATAGAGACTACTAGACTGTAATGTGGAAATGCTGATGCCATCGGTTTATGGAGCAGAATACAAAATGACCTCTACACGGAGCTTGCTGTGCCCACCTTGGGTGGGTATATAAATATTTTTTAACTCTACAAATGAGGAAACAGGCGTAGAGGGCTCAGTAGTGTGGCCCTGCTGGTCTGGCGCCTGGGCTTGGTGACCACAGGACGCCCAACTACAATTGTCACCATTATTTAAAACTAGAGTCTGGGGCTTTGGAATTTTGTTTTCTCCAGA